AACTGGGATGTTTAATACCTGTTACTTTCCAGCTTCATCATAAATAGAGCCAGTGGCAGGCATCCAGGCATTTTTGTGTGTAATGGCCTCTCCATGCTCCGGTGTAGATGCTGGGACATTAACTGTGGAAAGGTCAGAGCCCTTTGTACGTGCTGGGAAACAACCCCTTTCCTCTTGTTGACTAGATTCTTGATTTCCAGGATCTGTGTAGATTTTTTCTTTTATTGGTTGATTTGAGAGAGACATTGATTTGTTGTTCCTCTTATTTATGTATTCATTGATTGATTCTTGTATGTGTCCTGACTGGGGATCGAACCACAACCTTGGCATATTGGAGGAAGCTCTAAGCATCGAGAGAGACATTGATTTGTTGTTCTTCTTATTTATGTATTCATTGATTGATTCTTGTATGTGTCCTGACTGGGGATCGAACCCACAACCTTGGCATATTGGAGGAAGCTCTAACCAACTGAGTCAGGGCATGTGCAGATTTTCCCTAGGATGCACTGTGCCCTCAAAGGTAAGGAGCAAAGCCAGCAAGCATGCATATGTACCAGCTTTCAATGGGTCTAGCCCTCCACTAGTCCCCAAATTAAGAATTTATCCCTCAGTGGGAATGGAAGGGAATGGATTGGCAGGGTGGTTGGCCAAAGAGACTTCCTCATAAAGGTTTGCTTTTTGGCTTTGTATGATGGTGATGCCCAGGCCGTGGGATCTTAAAACCAACTGGCATTGTCACACTGCGCTGGTTGGCAAAGAAAGAAATCTGTGGCCAGGACTGAGAGGGCCCCAGGCCTGCTGGCATTGGGACAACAGAGCTGAATGTGCACCAGGGTGCCCCAAATATGCCTTCAGCAGGCCTGTGCTTGTGACTACAAACTACCTGGGTTTCTGCAACTTCCTCCAAAGCGGAACAGCAGGGTTTCAGGTAAAGATTTTTGTGGTTCTAATCACATATTAAATGGTCAAACTCCTTCCCATGGGAGCAATTTTATATTCTTTCAGGACTTTTCTTCTAATTGGGGACCCTGCCCTAGAACTGCCTTCAAAAGAGTCATCTTGGGGTCAGGAATAAATGCTCCTCCCTACGGAACAACTGGAATACTGAGTCCTTTCTAGTTTCTGGGCCTGTTTCCTTACCTGCAAGATGAGGATTTGGGCAAGCTGACCTCAAAGTTCTAACTTTCTGAATGCACCCCCAAACACTAGCGCAGGAAGCGGCGGTAAGAAGGGTGCCCGCCAAGGTGGGGAGGTAAGGGGGTGGGGGGAAGGCCAGCCCTCTGGGCGACCCCGGTGGGCTTCCGCCCTCCACGTTGTTGTTCCCGATTTGGGCCACGCCCCCTTGGTCCGGGCTGGGGATGCCTCGCCATAACCGCCCCGCCCGGGTCCCAGAGTAATGGGTGGCTTTGGGGGTGGCACAGTTTGAGCCTCCACCCACATCAGAGACCAGTGGACAGAGTTTAGGGGAAGGAAAGGGAGATACTTTGCCTTAAAGGAAGGCTAGTGAAAAGTCAAGGCTAAGCCTCAGGGCACAACTGCGGAATTTCACTCCGACGTCCCATCTCCCATTCACACAGTGGCCCCATCCGCACCCGCGAAAGTGACCCTGCTAAACACTGGCCCTTTAAACGGAAGGCCGGCGGTGCGGGGTGTCCATGTGGAGCTGCTCCATGCCGTGTTGTCCTGCCCGCCCATTGGCCCGTGGCCCGATGACGTCGCCTAATAGAATGCTAACGCACTGCGGGGGGAGGAATGGAGACAAAACGCGGAATCGGATCGCCACTCCGCTCCTTCCAAGTTCTCTGGCAGCCTCCGGCTGTCAGCTCCGCCCAGGGGCGGATCCCGGGGCAATTGCGACAGCCGGGTGGTTGCAGGAATTAGGTCACGTGTGGGTAGGGAGCGGAGACCCAAAGATCAGGCCGGTGTCTACCATCCTAATGTTTCCCTGACCTAAAATGTCCTTATTTGAGCTTCTTAAGTGATGAATTTTCCACCTTCCCTCCAGCAGGACAAATTTCGTTGTGAATGATCCAAACACACCCTTGTTCAACTTGTGGCATACAATCGGGGCGGGGCGAGGCTGGAAAGCGGAAATGAAGGGCGCGAACCCGGCCCGAGCTTCCACCCCTACCCAGGCCACGTGTGCTAGCGCCGTAAGTGGGTGGAGACAGCT